ACACGTTTTGTCACTTAGCCAAAATCTGCACAGTCCTTGTGCTATTATACCAGGCGAGTTCATCTCCTTCTTAACTCTTTATCTTTCTCATTCTTATCTTTGTAAAATTTCCTGCTACTACACTAGGTGAGTTCATCTCCTTCTTTAACTCTTTATCTTTCTCATTCTTATCTTTATAAAAAAATTTGTCTTTTAACACCTACGTTTTCTTTCTTTAACTTTATTTGTTCTCAGGTACAATTTTGTTTGACCGAAATTAAAAAGGAACTAACGAACCAAGAACGTCAGGTAATTGCTGAAATTCTATTGATGCAAAATGAAAATGGAAAATTGAAACGGCATACCATACTCGCCATAACCAACATGTTTTCTGTTTGTGCCAGAACTATTAGTCAAATTTGGCATCAGGTTGTGGAAAATCTTTCAAATGGGTTAGCAATTGATGTTTCCAGCAAGAAGCAGAACAGAGTTGGTCGCAAACGGGTGCAAGTTGATCTCAATAAGGTATCAGAAATTCCTCTCCGACAAGGTATAAACATTCTATCTTTATCATTTCCTATGCAAGTTACTAAATCTACATTACATAAAAGAAATAAAGATGGCTTTATTAGACCACATTCAAATGTATTGAAGCCATATTTAACTGAAAAGAATAAGAAAACAAGGTTGTTGTTTTGTTTGTCAATCCTTGAACAGTGCAGTCTTTTTGACAGGCCAACTTTCTGCAATATGCTTAATTATGTTCACATTGATGAAAAATGGTTCTATATGTCTAAAGAGTCTGAGAAATATTATCTTCTTGCTGAAGAAAATGAACTCGTATGTACCTGCAAAAGTAAAAGGTTCATTATAAAAGTTATGTTTATTGCCGTAGTTGCTAGGCCACGAGTTGATACTTCTGGCCATGAAGTTTTCTCTGGAAAGATTGGAATTTATCCACTTATCTACAAAGTTCCTGCTAAACGAAGTAGCAAGAATCGCATGGCTGGTACATTAGAGACAAAATCAATTTTGTCGATAACTAAAGATATAATTCGATCGTATTTAATTTAGAAAGTTCTACCAGCAATTCGAGCTAAATGGCCTTGTGGGGGTACGATGGAAACCATTTATATTCAACAAGATAATGCAAAACCACACATTGATCCATTGGATGCATAATTCCTAGAAGCTACGACTAAAGATGGGGTTTGATATACGGTTAACATTCCAACCTCCTAATAGTCTAGATTTGAATGTTCTTGATCATGGATCCTTTAGAGTAATCCAATTGCTTCAATACCAACGAGCTCCCATTACCATTGATGAGTTGGTGGATGCAGTGAAAAAATCTTTCAATGAATTATCGACGGAAACTCTTGATAATGCTTTTTTAACGTTGCAGGGCTGCATGATTGAAACAATGAAGGTGTCTGGGGAAAACAACTACAAATTGCCATATATGAAAAAAAAAATCAATTGAGGAATCATGGTAATCTTCCTGCTCAACTTTACTGTGAACGTGATGTGGTTGAAAATGCTCTAAGTCACCTAAGACATTGATCATCCTTTTGTGACAGCAATGTAAGTTTTTTTCTCTTGATACAGTATTTTGTTGTTTGGAGTTGTAATGTGAGTATAGCATGCAATATATATAAATTTATTTTTTATTTTTTACAAGTTTTTGTAGTGTAATAAATGAAGATGGGTGCCTTGTTTTTCTTTTTAAGAAGAAGAAGACTTTGGTTTTAAGTATGGAAGAATGTATTGTGCAACCTTAGGACTTTTGTAAACTTACTTTGGTTTTATACCTAGAAGGTATGAAGAATGGTGTGAAGGAAGTCTCTGATTCCACATACAAATATTTTGTAAGTCATGTGAGTTTCCCGTTCATATTCTATTGTTTTTATGTTTTTTTAGCCTCAGTTCATAATTTATTGTTTGTGGACAGGTTTTTGTGGAGGTAAAAAAATGAAAATGGGTGTTCTGTTTTACTCTCTTACCTTTTTATGAAGGGGTTACGTAAAGGAATGATGTACTAGTAATATTCCCAACAGTTTTTGTGTAAGAAGTTTGTGTATGTACATACAAAAAATTGTAAAGAATGGTGTTAGAGTGTAAATAAAAATGGGTGCTCTATTTTGCTCTCTTACCTTTTTATGAAGGGATTACGTAAAGAAATGATGTACTAGTAATATTCCCAACAGTTTTTGTGTAAGAAATTTGGTATGTATATACAGAAAAATGGTAAAGAATGGTGTTAGAGTGTAAATGAAAATGGGTGCTCTGTTTTGTCTCTTACCTTTTTATGAAGGCGTTACGTAAAGGAATGATGTACTAGTAATATTCCCAATAATTTGTGTAAGAAGTTTGAGCATGTACATACAAAAAAATTTGTAAAGAATGGTGTTAAGAGTGTAAAAAGAATCTCTGTTTCTTCTGTTTGAAAATGATTTGTATTTTTAAGAAGAAAGTTTTGGCTGGCTTACGTAAAGGAGGAGAAAATATTGTGCAATGTTGGGACTTTTGTAGTGCTTATTTTTATTTTCATACATATGAAGGAATGATGCACTAATAATACTACTGATTGTCATAGTGTAAAGAATTTCGAGTTATGCATACAAAAAGCTGTAAAAAATGGCGTTACGCTGTAAAAAGAAACATTTGTTCCATTTGGTTGAAAACACTCTTCTTTATCTAACAATAATCCTCGTTTTTGTAAGCCATATGAGTGTTTTCTTTGATAATTTATTGTTTGTGTACTAGTTTTTGTGGGGGATAAAAAATGGGTTTTTGTAGGGATCTCTTTTTTAAGCAGAAAAAGGTTATGTTGTTCACTGTTGGAACTTTTGTAGAATTATTTGTGTTTTTATATACACAAGAAAAGTGTATTGGAACCGTGTAATGTGAAAGAAGAATATGGTGTATAAAAGTTCTAAGAAAAAATGGGTTTCAAAAGTAGTATGGAAAATTTATTTTTAATAGGGTCCACTTATTTTGAAATTTTAATTAGTTTAATCTTTTAGGGATAAGTTGGGAATGTAATAAAAAATAGCGCATTGATTTTTGAAATGTGATAACTAAAATGAGCCAGCACAAAATGAGATAATAGACTATTAATATGAAACGGAGGTAGTAGTAAATGGGGGTTTTTTGCAATTCATCCTTCAATTAATGATAATTTATTTTCAAAAATCAAAAAGAAAAAAATGACACTTGGATGAAAAAATTGGGTATGGTTAATATTTTTATCTTCTTGTTGACCATAGATGAATAATTTAAACAGATATTTAATTAGTGATTGAAAATAATTTAATTATTAAAGGAGATCACAAAATATCTGATGATTTCTTTTTTTTTTTTTCTTCATTTTCTTATCTCGCTTTCAAATCTTTTGGTAAATTTTTTAGATGATTATCAGAACATAATTTGATAAATTATTATAAAAAAAATTACATGAGATAGTTATACAGTAAATTGAGATTGTGTTAGATTTATATAGCTTCCACATTTTAATATATAATTGCTACAGGACTGATAAGAACTTGTTCCATCTGTGGGTTTTTGTTTTTTGTTTTACTTTTTAGTCTCTTCCATATTTTTTTCTATCCCATTAAATCGAGCCAGAATTTCCTATTGTAACTAGCTACAACGTCTCGAATTTCAAAACCTGATTTATAATAAAAGAAAGAGAAATTTGGATTAAAATTTAATGTAATGTCTCTTATGTTAGTATTGTTGACTTTTCAACATATTACATATGTTATTTAACATAGATAAAGTAAATATTTGAAAATAAATATATTACTTTACTAGTGTAAAAAATCCCTATAGTATCACTAAAATATTAATGATCTATACCATCCTCATTAGTGAGACATGTCATCACAGAAATGGTGATTTATTATGGTGAGTAAATACACATTTATCAAATCACAACTAAATTACAGAGGTAGTAATTTATTATTAGTTCACATCACTAGTGAAAATAATGCAGATCCTTATTAGTGAGAATGGTGCAAATTCTCACTAATGAGAAGGACATAAATATCATTCTTTCAATAAAATCCACCAATCTCATTCCATTACACGATGATGGCGGGCATGAATGAATATGAAAAAGACCCAACCTTGTTTGGTCGATCTCAAGTTATACACAAAAACAACAACTAAGCATACACAAAAACAAATTTTCTTCTATTTTGAAACTCCAACTTCTTACCAGCAAGATCATATTAGTATAGAAAGACAAAAAAACCGTGCCAAGCTTCAGAGGTTCAATTCATACTCGACTTAAAATCGTAACGAGTTCGAAATGCTTTATTTTGAAAAGCTTAAGTTTGACTCGATTCAACTAATTTAATGAAAATAGTCAATCTCGTTATCAAATTTTTATTTAAATTTGACTTAAACTCGTGTTCTTCTTAACACAAATCTAAATTCATGAATATATATATATATTCACTATGCATACAAATTTATTATACGAATCTTAATAAACTAGAGAAAAATAATACTCATACTTATTTAGAGAGTTAAACACCATATCGAATATCAACTAAATCAATGTATAATATCCTATCAACTAAATCACTTAATAGTATCCGGAGATTTACAATATTGAACACCATTCATTTGCACCTACGCTGACATACCACCTACCTTAGTGGACCAAAGTATTGAAATATTGAATATTATTTAACATTTAATAATAATAAGCGAATTTCGGTGTTCCATTAGTAGCATGCCCCAACTCACACGCAAGGGACCAAACGGAACGCTCACTTTTTTTCTTTTTCTTTTCCTGTTTCCGGGTCTTCCTGTGAACCAATGAATCGGCAATTGGACATTTTCGTCATTTTACAAACCCCGGTCTTCACTCGAACCACCACACACGACGTCGTACTACGTGTATTCATAATTCCCCGAGTCATCATTGGCCTTTGGTTCGGTGTGTCCACCAACTTGGCCACGTGACCTCTCCAAAGATGGCCATTATAAAGACACAGCAGCAGTTGCTCATAGAGGAAGAGAGAGAGAGTGAGTTTCTAGAGAGATAAAATAGTACAGTAATCATACATACATATACACTGAAGTGGTACACATTACAAGAGCTCTCTCTCTACCTATGACACTGCTGAGCTCACTTTTCTTCATCTCTAGGGTTTGAACTTTGAACTTTTCTCTTTAGGTTTTTCTCGAGACACAGTCGGCACAAAGAAAAACTCAGAACTACATCACAACATCAGAACCACTACCAAAGAAACCCTAACTCAACTCTGGAGAAACTAGTACCCAGATTTCAGTACATTGGTGCGTCTAATCTGAATCTGTAGAACAAATCTGAGACCGGAAAAATCCCTGATTTGAACACTGAGATGGACAGATCAAGATCTAAGAGGTACTACTACGACCAAGACTACGATTCCGAAACCCTACCCAGGAACAAACAACGCTACAACAGTCACGGCAGCCATCACTACACTGCCAACAACCACCACCGCCGTTCCGCCGCCGGAGGCGGCGGCGGCGGCGGCGGAGGTCGTAAGGTCCAGGATCCCTCGCTTATGGTCACTACGAGTTACCGGATTCTGTGCCATGACATTAAGGCCGGTGGTGTGATTGGGAAGTCTGGAAGCATAATTAGGGCTATTAGGCAACACACTGGGGCTTGGATCAATGTGCATGAGTTGGTACCTGGAGATGAGGAGAGAATCATAGAGATATCGGACACGCGGAGGCGGGACCCCGAGGGGCGAATGCCGTCCTTCTCGCCGGCGCAGGAGGCCCTGTTTCTGATACATGAGAGGATACTTGAGGGAGATGCTGGTGGATATAATCTTGGGTATGGAGCTGGTGATGATGATGACGATTACGGGCCACGGGGTGGAGGAAACCGGGTCGTGACGAGGCTTGTGGTGTCAAGGATGCATGTGGGGTGTTTGCTAGGGAAAGGGGGGAAAATAATTGAGCAAATGAGATTTGAGACTAAGACACAGATTAGGGTTCTTCCTAGAGATCACAGTCTGCCTAGGTGTGTTGCAATGTCGGAGGAAATTGTGCAGGTTTTGAACATTTCATCCTGGAAGTCTTTAATTGCGTTTTTAAAATTTGAGCTTTAAGTTTCATTTGAATTGCTAGTGAAATTATCCAGCTCTGGGGCATATTGGGCATGCATTGGTTTGATTGAAGCTCATTGCAGAAGTTTGATCTTGGACTACTAAAATAGCTTCAAAGTTGTGCAATGAATTCATTATGAGATATCACATTGTTTTATTTTGATAATTTGCAGCTGAGTTTTGCAGTACTTACTGATTAATACATGCGGGCTATAGCATTAACAGTTATATCAACATCACAAAGGCAGATGAAAGGCGAAAGAGGCACATTTTCAGCTTTGAGAAATTTTTAATTGAAATCGGGTTAGAACATAACAAGGAAAATCTTGATAAAGTAGGACACTGACATGGCAAGGACCATGCGGCACGTATATGATGTCCGCATATGCATTATTATATGGAACAAATACATAATCTTGATTACTTTTTCTACATTATCTATATTAACAGTTTCATAACATGGAATATGAAGCTCAACAAAAATTGTAGGCATCATTTTTTCATGCATAATGTCCCCCAATGAACATCATGCATAATTTGTTTCTCAATAACTATTCTTTTATCTTTGCCCTTATATTTTTTCATATATAAGAAGTGCCACTACATGGTTCACTATGACAGCTAAGTTTAGCAACTTCCTTTGGAAAAATGGACACGTACAGGGCATGTACAACATTTCTTTAAGGGCAAAGAGTGTTGGAGGAATGTTGCCTATGATAAAGATGCATTTCTCAATTGTCCATGTTATATAGTAACACATGGTAATGAAAAGTTTAATTTGATATCTAATAGCATTCATATATTTCCTTGGCAAAATGCTTCGTAATCATTTTACTCCCAATTATATTTAGGAATTTCTTTGGAGCTGTCCTTTTTTGTTTTTGGTGGCTCTAGTAAAAGTGTTGTTCTAGAGTTCCTTTCTATATTTGATTTGGCATTGTGGTCTGCAACAATTTTTCTAATGTTAAATCAAAACGTAATCATGGTAACATCTTCTTTATATACATTGAGTACTTAAGATGTTTTATGTTGTATTTAGGGGTCATTTCTTTGTGCAATGGTAAAAACTCGGACTAACAACATTAAGGACACGAGTTTTAGTGTGACTACCTTTGTGGGTGGGTGTGATGTGAGTGGTTGCGAGACACTGGATGAGCTACCAAACTAGCAGGTTACAGGGTGTCATGATCCTCACATCACCTGGGGAAGGTGACGTGCTATATGTAAGGTTCAATACCCTTCTATGACACAACGCGTTTTAAAGCCGTGATGGTCGTGAACCCATCAGAACTCCAAGGTTAAGCGTGCTTACTCTGCAGTTCTACATGGGAGCCAAAAGCGGACAATATTGTGTCTGGGTAGGGTGAGGGATGTTACATTTAGTATGAGAGCTGCCACTTTGTGCAAAGTATGTCAAAGATTAGGTCTTGTCTCCAGTCTTTTCTCTTTTTAATCCCATGGAATGTGTAGAAATATCTGTGGTATTATTATTATTTTTTTTATTAGTTGTTTTCAGCCTTTTATTAGATGTTTGATGTTTTATGTAAGATCCCTATTATCATGGGATCACCTAGATAAGAGCTCTGTAATCATGGGATCACGTAGATAAGATCCCCATAATCATGGGATCACGTAGATTTTGGCATATTTCTTGTTTTTCTCTGATTTGGTTTCCTTTCTTTGTCCCCTATTCTTGTATATAAATATAGCTCTTGGCTCTCTGCTTGAGTAAGCCAAAACCCAAAACTTCTTCTTTTGAATGTAACCAATACCTAGTATGCCTTTCCATAGCATTCTTGATTCGTTTAGGTATTCTTCTTTCATCATCAGTCTTGCAAGTATGAACAAGGGGATATGGGAGACACAGTCTTTGTTGTCATTGACCGCAAGTTCTTTTAGTTAGGCACCTGTCTTGACCTCAAGTACCTAACTACATTTGGTGATTGTATTAGTCAATGTGGATAACATCAGCATGCTTATTTCTTATCTGAAGTAGAGGTTAATGGACTGTTGTATTCTCACTTGGTTTGGTCCTACTGTATCCATCAAGTGCTTGGTAGCAGTAAAGTTTAAAGGAGAGTTACGTAATAGAAGAGGGAAATTTTGCGCAAGAGTAATGGTCAAACTGGCTAGTTTGGCCCACTTTTCCCAGTTCACGTTCAGAAAAACAGCTAATTGCTGAAATCTTGAATTGATAAGAGGACTGACATGTTTTCCTTTTCATTGACGTATGAGGATACCGCTGAGGGAAGTGACAGATGTGGTCTTTTATTTCACGTGTTGTAGGATTTGATTGATTGCTGAAATAAGTTTGACAATTCAAAGTATGTTTTTCATTTCATGAAGTTTTATGCTTTGATCTTAATTATCACACGATATCCATCACTTTACAATTAATTTTAGCTTTAAATGAGATTAACACGTGTCTTCTCTTTCTTGACCTCTGGCTCAGGTGGTTCTCTTGTTAAGTTAGTGGCTTCATTTTCCTATTTGCTTTCCCCCTAACCCTAAATCATCACCCACTCACACTATGGAAGATTTATCGAGTGGTAAAAAATTTCCAAAATTCTCTTCACCCACGTACTCTTCAAAAGCATATGAAAAACCCGTGTAGGACACATGATTCAGATAAGGTTATGGGATATGTGTGTGACACATTTGGTTGGACATGTACCTAAAAAGCATATTGGATAATTCAATTATAATAGATTATTGCTTCAAAACGAGTTTACTGCGTATTTCTGGAACACTAGGTTACATAAAAATGTTATTTTACTCTATTAAATAGTTTTTATTTATTTATTTATTTATATTTTATTTTAAATATGAATATTTTACAGTCTCTCCATATCTTTCTATTTGGAGATTTGATACATTTGACACTCGAACACATACTGCAACCGACACACGTATCTGAGTCTAGTTGAAATAGGTTTTTGGCTAAATGAATAACTCCATTGCTGGAGAAGTGTATGGTGCATATGTGGACATGGACACATCATTGCATGAATATGCTGAAGTGACAAATCTTTGAAAAATGGTATATGAACAAGGATATGACACAAGAATATGAATGTAAATTCCTATACTGTTATACACCTATATTATTTGTGAAAAGTACTTAACTTTGATTAGTTTATCTATTTTTTTGATAAGTAACTTTGATTAGTTTATCTATAAATCTATATTAACAATTGATGACTTATCAAAATTGCATAACTTGGAAGATGAAGCTCAGGAAACATTACAATAGTAACTATAGTATATTTACCAGTAATAACTACTCTCATGTTACATAGTTTTGTTTTTACCTATATTTTCATTTCTATTTTATGTTACTGAGATGCTCATGCTTGACCTCTTTTCATGTCTCAATATGGATTTCACTAAAATATTTTGGACATGTTCAGCCGCTTTTCAACACATTACGTTGAGTGTCCAAGGTGTGCCAGTCTACCTTTGTTTTGGTGGCTTTGGGTCTTAACTCTCATGCCCTAGGTCAAGGTTTCAAGACTGGTAGAGAGAAGGAAGAAAAAGTGTCCAAGGTGTGACATGTCCGTCATGGACATGGCTCTTCTTAAGAAGTTCCCATGCTACATGGTTGGAGAACTAAGAATAAAAATGGTTTTGATTTAGGCCTCAACATTGAGGACGTATATGTTTAAAAGACTGGCTTTGGAAGCTGCAACAAAATTCCCTTAGGCATGATTTGTTATATGGAATGAAGATGCTTTGGCATAAAAAAGAAAGGCAGCTGCTTATCGTCAAAGACCCCCAAGAATCTTTTTCATCTCCTTGGTAGTTGTTGAACTCTTTGCTGCATCTACTATGATCTTTCTTTTTTTACAAACGAATTCAAATTTGGGAACTGTTTGGGCTAGCATTCCTTGATCGGACAAAGGTAGAAGAATTAGGAACTGTAACAAATGAATATGCCATTTCAAATCAAATAGGTGGAGTAACATCTAGGTTTGTACTTGCAGAGTCCTGTTGCACTTTAAGAGCTTGAGATTGGTTTTGCTAACTTCTAGCTGTCCCACTTGTTGAAAAAAAAAATTCTTTATCCTTCAGATGGGGGAAATGTTATTTTTAATGTGATTTTATAGGCTTTATCATTGCAGAAATTCAGTAGCATCACACTGCCTATGCTCTCTCAATTTTATTTTTAGTCCAAGTGTTTTGCATGTTCAAACTTTGTGTATAGTAATTCCTCACAGACGTGCCATCTGCCAACACTTGAAATTAAGAAACGAATTTGTGGTGTAGGTATGTAGCTTTTGTTTTTTTTGTTATGGATAACATTTCTTCTGTTAGGAATCTGTAAGTGTAGCTTTCCTTATAAAGAAATGTAGCTTTGCTTATGCATTTGTTAATGAAAAAATGTTTTATGATATGGTAAGGTTGTCTCCCTTACAGGTTCTAGGTGATGCAAATAATGTGAAGAATGCTGTAGCAATCATTTCCTCACGACTGAGGGAGAGCCAGCATCGTGATCGTACTCATTTTCATGGTCGACTACATTCACCTGAGCGGTTCTTTCCTTCTGATGATGATTATATCCCTCACATGAACAATACACCACGCAGAACATCCATGGATGGGGCTCCTTTTGAATCCCGATTATCTGACAGCATGGCCGGTGCCAGAAGCAATAACTATGCCTCACGGCCATCTGGCTATACGATGGAATATGGGTCTGCTGCTGTGGCTGACAATGCACAGCTGTATTCTTTTGAGGACCTTGTTTTTCGAATACTTTGCCCAATTGACAAGGTGGACTGTGTTTTTGGAGAGTCTGATGGGATTATAGAATTGCTTCAAAATGAAATTGGTGTGGATGTTAAGGTTACTGATCCAGTGGCTGGGTCAGATGAGCAGATAATTATCATTTCATCCGAGGAGGTACCCAATGTCTCAATCTTTTATGAAGTAATGCTATTACTATTTATTTTACTTGTGGAGGCTTCTTTGTTCTCTGGTTGTATTGTTTTATGAAAGTAAAGTTGGCCTTGACTCTCTCTTTTTTTTTTTTTTCAAGTAAATAAGATGGCCTTTACTTTTTTCTTCAAGCCTTTTGAGTTCTTATGTTCATTGTAGCTTTTCAAATATGTCTGAACATCTTATCATTAGAATGGTAATATTACAAGCTATGACACTGTTAATATCTTTCCTTAAATCCTGTCTCCTCACCATTCAAAAGGTTCCAACAGATTGTCTGGTTTCTATATGTTCTTAGGGTCCTGACGATGAGCTATTTCCAGCTCAAGAAGCTTTGTTGCATATCCAAACTCGAATTGTTGATCTTGCTCCGGAAAAGGAAAATATTATTACCACTCGCTTACTTGTTCCATCTGGTGAGATTGGATGTTTGGAGGGAAGAGATGGATCATTATCTGAGATGAAGAAATTAACTGGTGCAAACATACAGATCCTGCCTAGGGAAGAACTCCCTGTATTTGTTTCAGAGACAGATGAGATTGTACAGGTTTGTTACTATATACCCACCAAATGTGTAAAAAGACCATTTATGGAAAGGGGAAAAAAAAGTGTAAAAATACCCTGACTTTTTTATGCAGTGAATTCTATGTTCAACTTTCAAGGTACTAGTTTAGTGGATCAAAAGTATTACGCATGATGCATATGCAAAGGGTGGATCGTTATGAAAAAATCCTGAAATTTATGATATATGACACATGCTGTAATTTTCAAAATATAGGAGGTGACAATTTCTGAGCAATGAATGCTTGTCTGTTTATTTATACCAACTCTTGATGTTAAATATCTCCTTTTATGAATTATCTAACTGATTATGTTTGAAAGGTTATATAACTGATGTTTCTTTCCTAGTTTGTATGATATGCATGTCCTCCATGTGTTGCAGATTAGTGCATCTCCAATGTTTCAAATGTCTATTGACTGGGATGATTTCACAAAAGATGGTCTTAAAAAACTGCACCTTCTACAAATCACCAAAAAAGGTGTATTGGGTAGAATAATTTATAGTTCTAGAGTTCTAAACCATGACTTCATATCGTCTACAGATCGTAGGGGAGATAAAAGCTGCCCGAGAGGCTCTTCTTGAAGTGACATCAAGACTACGTAGTTACCTATATCGAGAGTTCTTTCAAAAAGATATGCCTCCACCTATATCTGCACCCAGTCCTGTGGGAAGTGCATTAGCGCTGGAGGCAGTTTCTGCCAATATCGTGACTCCTGTTCGCGAAGGTTATGCTGGAAGTGACCTTCCTGCTGCAACTTTTCAAAATGTGCCTACTCTTGGAGCAGCACAGCCCGCAAGGGTATGTATACTGGGAACTTCTTCTTCTTCCATTAAACTTTTTTCTCTCTAATGATGTGTTTTATATTACCCAGAACTAGGTTATTCTTTCTTTATTAGGCACCTGCTATGAAATGTACTTGCTTTCTTTTCTCCTTTTTTGCATGCTGGGAAATTGGGAAACTCAGCCTGTCAAACCTTTAAAATTTTCACGAGACATCTAGTTGCTTGGTTTGTGGAAGCATTGCTGACTCGGCTACTTGGCTCCTGCCCCATGGATTGCCTTAATGGGCTCCATCCAGATAGATGCCATATTTTGCGGTTTCAGACGATTGGAATTTAACAATGTGACCCCTCATTTTGTAGGACTCTGGAGGATCTGGCAGTGAAACAGTTAAGCAGACTGAAGGTGAGCGTCGTGAAGAGGTGCCGAGTACGTTGAACAGGTAATAAGCCTTTCTTTCATTATACCATATTGGGGACTTTCATTAATCATGTTACCGAATTTACTATCTGTCTTCAATTTTCTGCTAGATTCCCTGTGCCGCTTGTCACTAGGAGTATACTGGAAGTGATCATACCACAGCAAGCAGTCCCCAAGCTCATAACAAAATCAAAGAACAAGCTTGCTCAGATCAGTGAGGTGAGTTTTGGACTCCTGCAGTATTTCACTACTCAGTTTTGCCATGCTCGGCTGAGACTTAATTTATGTGTTTTACTTCTGCTTCACCATGCAAACAGTTGTCAGGAGCTAATGTCAAACTGATTGAAGATAGACCAGAAGTAACAGAGAACATCATTCAAATATCGGGTACTCCAGAGCAGGCTGAGAGAGCCCAGAGCTTGCTTCAGGGATTTATTTTAAGCAGTAAGTTTGTGTGTTTATGCGTGTGGACAAGCATGTATGTTCAGCAACCTTAATTGTTGATTTTCCTATATTTTCATGCATTGGATTTACACCTCCTTCCTTTTTCTTTCTCCGGTCAATAATAATTCAGCCCAAGAAGATGGACCTTGAAGTGATGCGGGAAAGTAGACGCGCGTGTGAGGCTAATTAAAGCTGCTTGAATGAGGAGAGTGCCTTGCAGTTTTTATCTAGTCTTACTTCTTGGATGCAACTCCTATAGAAAGGGTATCCTTCTCCATATCTAGTCTCAGAAAGGTATGTATGTTGTTTCTTGAATTGTCGGCAGTTCTACAAGGAAGAATGTACAAAGGGAAACTGGGGAATACTGTAAATTTTACTTTGATGATTTGTTATTGTCTTATGTTTTGCAATGTAGCAATTTTCCTGCATGAATGAGGTAACGGAGTTGAGGACTTAACTAGTGTGCTATATTCAGGCAGTTGCCTATTATATACCGTTGTGCTTCGGGTTGATGCCTAAATTTGAGTTATAAATTTCTCATTTCACGGTGCATGAATGGAAGTTCCATTTCTTCGTATCTGCGAATTTCTGATATCTTATCTTAAAAATGGATTCAGAATTTCTGACGTGCTTCGGAAGATGGCCAAGGAAGTTTGACTTCTAATATTTTTTTCTTAAAAATGGATTCGTAATTTCGGATTGCCTTTTTTTATAATTGACTTGCTATACTAGTTTTCCTGCTTTAACACCAAACCCCCCTCCGGCTCCTGCTTACATTTATGCTCTGCAATCAGTTTGTTTGCTTGAAATTCAATGGTGAATGGACAGAGAGAGACCTTGGAGGCCTATAATATCTATAAGATTTTCAATCTCTATAGGTTCCCAAAGGTTTCAGTTTGGTTCTGTGTCTTCTTCGCAATCAAAGAATGCTAAAGGATAAAAAGTTGGTGGCCAAATATGTTGTTTGGAAGGGGTGTATAACCTCTGGACTTTGAATGTTTTTTGGTATATATCTGAATATTGTCTGCTTGAATTGTTTGATAAAGTGGCATACTGACATGGTAGTGAAACTCGAACTGATGTTTTCTATGTTTCTTGTGTGTGTGTGTGTGTGCGTGTGTGTGTGTGTGTGTGTGTTTGTGTTTTACTTAGAAAGTATCCTCTGTTCAATTGTCACTGTATGTGGTCATAGTGACTAACTGGGAGCAAGCTAATGCTGTTTGAGACCTTACCACAACCATATAATAGCTCACCATGTTCAGATTTGATGTGGTGAACTAGAATGGTACTAAACCTAAGATAATTTGGGTAAAGTCGAGTGATGTCTATATATTTCTATTCTTATCCAGGGGACAATAATCAACAGAAAAGTGTGTGTGTGTGTAGTGGTAGTATAAAGAAGACAAGGTTTTATGGTGTGAGGAATCTATTCATTACCTTATTTGTGGACTATATCCGAGAAAACCAGATATTAGTGACCAAAGTTGAATGATGTATAAAAATCTCATTGTACCATGGTTCGTAGTATCGGTCGCGATCGAGGTGTAACGGATTCGGACAAAGTCAGTGTAAATTGTCCGATACGAGTCGCGTATCGGACTTGAAAAAGGGTCGAATATCGACTGATATATCGCGTATCAGACTTGAAAAAGGTTCGAATATCGACTGATACATCGCGTATCAGACAAACTAAAACGCAAATAGGAGTCTAAGAGATTACAAAAAATTATTATATGTTTTCGAACCTTGAGTCAATCATTGATTAACCAAAACGCAATCATGTAAGTTTTGTGTTAGCTTTAATTTTTTTGCGTTGTGGGGCTTGTTCTGCGTCATTTTTTTTAAGTTGTTAATCTTTTGGCATACTAATAATAAAAATTCATCTTCTCCGAAGAAAGAGGATGACAAGGAGGCTATGTTACCACTTCTTACCATCCAAGAACGTCAAGAGGTATTGGGTACCCAAGGGTACCAAAAATACAATACCCCATCCAATGAAGAATTCTCATTTCCAATTTATTATAGAGGGCAATGGAGAGTTTTGACGAAATCCAGAGAGTATAAAAAATATAGTACCCCATCCAATGAGGAAGAATTCTCATTTCTTATTTATTATCGAGGGGAATGGATCCAACGAAAAATTCTCATTTCCCATTTATTATTGAGTTTTGACGAAATTCAGAGAGTTTAAAAAAAATATAGTACTCCACCCAATGGAGAATTCTCATTTCCTATTTTCAAGGGGAGCAGAGAATTTTGATTTAATAGGATATAGTAAAACGTAAGGGTATTGAATTTTCTTTCAAATTGTTGCTCTCACAACTTGTGGTATAATGGACAAAAATAAATTTTTTCTTATTTTTTTTTGGTTATATTTTGGATGATAGGAAATTACAATTAGTAACTGTGTGTTATGATTTAGCATTAATTTTTTTTTTTTTTTTTTTTGATAAGTAGATTTAGCATTAATTTCCTTTCATAAAAAGATATACATCACATTATTTTTTGAAATTGGGCTTATTTATGCACAAATGCAATTCCGCACAAGGCACCAAATATATATATATATATATATATATATATATATATATATATAAAATATGTTTTACTAATGGATTCTTCAAAAACGACGCTTTAAAAAAATATTTGTATGAGTTACAATAACGCGATTAAGGACTAATTTAGTTAGTTTAAACATTAAATTCAGTTTTTCGCTTTTTTCCATCCACTATTCCGCAATCTTTTATTTTTGCGACTCCACTAGATGATGTTCAGCGTCAATACTACAATAATACATATAACTAGAATCTCTACTCTTATCATTCTATTTTGCACATATTTCAATGCGGCACTACCCAAGAAAAAAAAAAAATCATCGTAAATATTTGTTATAAAATTCAATGTATGTGTGTGTATAATGTATATATGTATAGGACACCCGTGAACATCTATGTGTATGTGTGAGTGGAGTTGTGAATCTCATCGTATAATGTCATGTTATAGGGTTCATACCCCCACACATAGATGTTTATGAGTGATTTCAAAATATAACACTCTTTCTCAAATCCATCCCACTAATATAAATCTTTTCTCAAATTCGGTTCGAAATGCTCCGTATCGAAACCGGGGCAAATTCAAGGCACCCCGATATATATACTTAAAAAAAAAATCAAACCTAAAGAAATTTAAAACAAATATTACAAATTTTCTTTTAGGTATAGTTAAATATTTAACAATCTTAATTACAAAAATATTGTTAAAATTTAAAATTATCATAAGACAGAAAAAAACAAATTATAGCTACTAAAAGAATAATTATTTAAACTAGGGAAAAAGAATAATTATTTATATACTCATTAATTATTAATCGGGATGGGTTTGACACTTTGTGGGTTTTAACCTAAGTCACATAAAGTGAGAACGAGAACGAGAGTGAATTCAAGAGCGGGAACGTTAAAATGACATAATTAAGTAATAAATAATGAAAATTTGAGTAAGAACGCGCGCGAAACGTGAGAACAACACCTGTTAAAAAGGATTGTGTGACTTAAGTTTTAACTCTTTTTCCAAATCCGCCCCTAGCTCGATTAGGATCATTCCAAACCCATCCCAATAAGGGCGGTACTTACACAACACAAGCATTCTTGAAGGATGTATCATTTTTTTCTAATGAATAACCTCATATTTATTTTATTTTTTATTATTATTCTTTTTGTCTTGAGGAATAACTACACATACCCATTTTGACCCTATCTAGAATGAACCCTTGATCACTAAATTCTAAATGAAATGACAATTTTTATCACCAGAAAAAGTATATTCCAAAGTCTTTATATACTTCTTCAGGAAACTTGACATAAGAGTCCTCCTGCCTTTATGCCCTCATCTAAATTGGGAGGTATGAGAGAATATATGACGACCAACTCCTCCTCTTGTGTAGGGAGGAGTCAGAAATGGGACATTTTCTAGTAATCATTCAATCAAAAAAGAAAACAAAGTAAGATGGAAAAAGTATCATTTTGATAAAGCAGCACTAAAACAACTGATGAAGCAAAACCAACAACAAATGGACAATATTACCCACAACGGTGTCAAGGTTCAACCCTTTTCTTTTGTCTTATTTTTCCTTCTTTTTTTTTTTTTTTTTTTTTTTTTTTTTTTTTTTTCTGTTAAATGACCTTTCTGCTGCAGGCATATATACAACAGAAAGAAGAAAAACTACACTAGGAAATTCCTATATATATACATACAGTTGAAGCAATGCTAAATATAAACCATTTCTATTTAAATCAAAAACCCTACTAACTCAACTCTGTTCAATGATACATTGGAATAAAAATTGTGAAGATGGCATCTATCTAATTTGTTAGTGAACTAAAGGATTACCAGGTTAGTCAGTTGTTCGTCGAAACCAAATCGGTGTCCACAACGGTCGGGCGGAAAAAGAAAGCACTGAACCATGATCAGCAACCAAACATGGATCATCTACATTCCACCAAGAGCAGATCAGAGGCGATGAGTCTGTTCAGCAGAAAATGGCCCACCCAGCACCTTCCCACATGCTCAATCGATACAAACCCCACCACCAGATCGACCGACCAAATGGCAGACAAACCATTCAATCATTAAGACCGGCTGACGTACTATAAAATCTAAAATTCCCCTATTTTTTTCCCCAAGAAATTCCAACCACCAGCTCTCCAATCGTCCCATTATAAAGAACAAATGGAAGAGGTTCAACAAGGTCCCACAGACACCTCTATTATGCAGATACGCATCTAAATAGGCCTCTCTTATCAGTTAATATGACTCCTCTATTCGGTGGGGTGGCAGACATAAAATTCTCCAATAAACAAATCAAATAATCCCAGAATTAACCGGGACGCGATGCAGATAAACCAACCTCAGCCATTTGTTGATTCCTAGCCAGATTACAGTATAACTTTTGGTCTACCACCACCTGTCAAGACCTGATTCAATTATAATACACATCTAAAATTCGAGAAGGGGCCCATTGAAAGACAAAAAATTCGAGAAGCATCATCAATACTGCACAAATGCCCTATGGAGTCTGGACTAATAAACTCCAACCCGCAGGTTTGATGATGCCAAAGTCTTCATGGACCAGCACATCCAATAATGATTTTGCACTAATGAAAGTAAAGTGCCAAACCAAAGGTACCATCTCCGATTCTCCAAAAACATGCAAGTCCCAAGGAGTTCATAGAGGAACTGGTAAGCCATAATTGTGGAATGACCTAATCCGTCCATCCCAGCCCCCAGTAACAATAACCAGACCCCATGCATGAGAACTGGATGTACTCTGACAAGCTTTCAGAAACTTGTATTGAGATTTATGCAATGAAGATTGCACAGTCCTAGGAGTAGGAAGCTTTTCCTCAGGCCAAGTTGCAGACCCCTTATTAAAAGACTCTAAGATGAACTGTTCACTCAGAGAGAACCGACTGGGTGAGCAGACAGGCAACATATTAGGAGAATCCTCATCCAAAATGCTAAATTTCCCTTCATTTTCTGATTTCCCAGATTCCAATCCACACCAAGGTATTGCAACTGACGCATTTGCAGAGAAGTGCTCGAAGGACCTAACTTTCTTTGGTTTGGACAGAGAAGTCTCTTCCTGACTCATGCAGTTCCATATATACACATTAGAATCCTCAGAAGCTGAGATTATATGCTTCCCATCTGAGGTAAAAGATGCAAAGATCTGATTTCCTGCATTACGGAGGCCTAGAGAGAGAGAGAGAGAGAGAGAGGGACATAAATTAGATTTAACACTAAGATTTAAAAAGGTTCACAGTCAAGAACAGAGTAACAATAAACATAAATAAATAAGAGAAATATATATATATTTTTTTTCAGTAAAAAATGTATATTCAGCGAGCCATTTAGGTTTCACAACACAGTCTCTGCAATATAGTAATATTTGAGCATGCAATTTATCAATGCATTACTCGTCCAATGCAGAGAACTGCCTTTCAACAACTCATATTGTAGGAAACAGACATGGATTAAGATAGTAATCAACAAGTCATCAAAGAATTAAGAATCCAAAAGAAAAGAATAAACACGTACCCCTATATTTGCCAATCACATTAATTCCATGAAGAATCCTGACTTGTGAATCAGCACAAGTGATCATTAGTTTACTGGGGTCTTGTGGATAAAACTGGAGTAGAGTAACATGACATTAGGAGAATTGCACACTTTATCAAATAGAAACAAGATAGTAACATAAAAAAGCAACAAGGCAAGCACAAATGGGAGAAAATTGACTACCTGGAAGCCAGTTATTCTTTTGTATGGTGACTTCTTCTTACTGTGTAAGCATATCTGAGATTCCAGTTGGAAGTGATTATCTGGTCCAATCAGAAAAGAAAAAAAAAAAAAGCAGTTGATCAATTACAAGTCTTTTTTGGAATCCTTGAGGTTCAGAATTTATCTTAATGTAGCTAGATAGAAGGCCACATCAACCTAAGACTCTGTATAGCAAGTCAATAAATTAGTTCTTAGTAGAACTAGCTTCTAATTTCATTTTAGATAGAAGGCGCTCAGGGAAAAGGCAACTGAAGTAACTCCATTTTCACAAAATCCTATGATCACGAGAGAAGGTAATTATATGTGCTTCTCTTTGAGCAATGTGATGTTTCTCAAATGTGAAGTTTGTATCCATCCAATTATCCCCTGCACCAGGTGTGTAGGCAAGACATGCAGTGGGTAATGAAGGTTTTGTTCAAACAACAATATGAAAAGATCTCCAGGAACATGAAAATATCTCATTAATTGAACATGTACAGAAAATATATTACATGCTCAATACTTTAATATTTGATCTTGAGAACTCCACGTCATACAATAACAGAGTTATTTTTCATTCACAAAAAACCAACTCCAAATCGAATCTGAAAAACTAATTTGACTGCATTGTTTACATTCCATAGCACTCACATTTGTGCAGGACATAACCCAACAAATTTCATAAGATAACCAAACACTTGAAATGAACAAAAAAATTGCCAAAAGTTCTGTCAATGTCCTAAGAAGCATTGGTAGTAACTAATAAGTCAAAGCTGCAATTGGTTTACAAGTTAATGCAGAGGGATTACCTGATAAATTGTAAAAACGGCAATTGCCGGTAAAAGAGCCAACAATCCCAACCTGTATGACAAATAAAAGAGAGTATTCAATTAGAATCTCTTAGATTTCTAAAGCTACATACTCATTTCAACAAGATGAGAGAACAAGACAATCACCAAACCTGCCCGTCCGGGCGATAACAGACGGCAGTGACCATATCCCTTATGTCAGTCCAATCAATAACTTGGCAACCAGTAATTGCCCAAATGCGAACTTTCCCATCTATTGAACCGCTGATGAAGTGATTATCATCCACAGGGTTGAACTGAACGCAAGTCACTAAATCACATCAACACAAAGGAAAAACTGTTTAGTCATTCTGAATAAAATAATTGATAAAATCAATTCTTACCCCTACTGACCCAGTGTAGATTTTTGCTAATATTTAACAAATAAAATATATGTTAAGAAGAACACAAAAATAGCCAGGGACGCACCATAATTACTATGTGAAAAAACCTCAAGGCAATTGTCATATCCCATTCGCCACAACCGAACAGTTTTATCAACCGATGATGACAGAAGATACTGCACCAAGAACAAAATAATGAAATCATATATCTGCCACATTTTTTAAAAATTCAACTGATTTACAAATTATCACTTACATTATTCTTCGACCATGAGAGATCCAAGATCTCACCACTATGCCCACGAAATTCATGCAACGGTTTCTCCAATATGCGGAAGACTTTTGGGGGAAAGATAACACAAGCTGAGTCCGTTTTTTTCCTCAGGCTCTTCAGCACACCCATTTTCTCTTTCTCCACAATGACAGGTGCCAGTTCAGAGAGATGATTTACAGTAAAGTATATGCAAGATGGATCAATATCTGGAATATCAACTTCATTCGATCTCTCATCCTCCACCACTTGCCACACACGCACAATCCCATCTTCACCAGCACTAGCAAGGTACTGACCATCAAGACTAAATTTCATTGTCAATATTGAACCCTTGTGGGCCTGGATCTCTTGTCCCATAAAAAGAGCTGAGAGTTCCTTGGACCGCTTTCTGTAGTGGTGAACCCTAACTCTTTGAACCCTAGCCCCTCTAATTGGGTCAGAGGCATTCAATCTCAAATTATTAGCTTTACCTTGCCCATTCATTATGCATGTCATGAAGCGTAATCTACTCAACCACCTGTTCTTACCTCTGTTCATCATTCCAGAAGAATTGCAATCAACCTCAGCTTCCCTCTGCGTGAGCTGCTTAGCTGATGCAGATGATCCAGAAGTGTTGTCAAACTCTTCAGCAGGCACCAATTGCTCAGAACCCATTACTGAAAGTTTATGCTGCTTGTAATCTTGCCCCAATTTATCTACATCACGTCCTGCTAATCCATCCGAATTCCCAATTCTGCACATATTTGAGCCCGATTCTTCTGACAACTCAAAAACATCCTTGGACCAACTTGACACGGATGATCGGCTTGAAGAAAACTCATCTTCAAAACTCGGGGTTCTCAACAAGGACCCACTTCTCTTTGTGATTCTATCAATCTCTCCTTTAAGCAGATCACCACCCATCTCTGTTGAATTCACCGCCCCAATCCAATCCGAATTCTGTCCCATCCAATTTAAGAAATTACTACGGCGCTCTTGAACACTTTGGGGACTCCCAGTCCACATGTCATACCCAAAACTATTTGACGCCGAATTATCACTTTCACAAGAAGAATCAGAGGACTCCGGGCATTCATGCACTGTAGCAATGTCGTCGTGTGCATCAAAGAATTGATATTCTTCGTCATCGCTTAAGCTACCCATCATTCCTTGAGTTCAACCCATGAAACCCCAACTCAAGGAACCAACTTTATAAGCCATACGCAATGTGCTAAATTCCCTCCCAACTGAAACCCAAAAAATTAAATAGCAAAAAAACACATACACACACAAAAACCAAGATCAGTATAACAGCAAAATTTTATTAAATCGAACAATAGCAACAACAATATTAATAATAATAAGACAAAAAACAATAGATCCAACATGGATCCCAATCCACACCCATTGAACCTAGTCTCAGGTACAACAAAAAAATCATAATTTAACAATATAATAATAATAAAATTCATCCAGTACATTATACAGTGCTTAGAAAGATGAACCCTAGCCTTTGCAACAAATCACAGACGCCCAACACAACTTAGTACACAAAAATCAAAACCCATTATCAGGAAGATCAATTGGTGGTGTTTGAAGCAATGAAATAGAATAAGAATACAGTTCTTATACAATGCATTTAACAAGCGTATATAGATACATATCGAATATGAAATTAAAAAATAGTTATATGGGTATGATTTGCTCACATGGGTTTGGTTCTATGAAATTGAACGACGCCGAAGAAGGAGGCATCGATCCTTTAGTCCATGGGAATTTTAAGTTTCTCTCTCCTCGCACTCTCTCTCTCTCTTTCTGTGTGTATGTCTGTGTGCGCGCGTCTGTGTGAAGCGAAGAAGAGAGGAGTAACAAAAAAAAAATTGGAAACAAAATCAGTAATAGATTGGAAAAAGTTGGGGTAAATTGGAAAAAAGAAAAATCCTTGACATTCGTGAACGTATGGCTCGTGAATCGAGATTTCGAGAGTAGTAGGGTGTTTCTGCGCCAGCGTACTTTGGTGTCTCTCACATAGACACATACACATATAAACACGCGCGCATATATATATATATATATATATATATATATATATATATATCTTCCAATTTTTTATTTTTGGTTTTAATCCTTTGGTGTGTTTCTAAAATTGTGGCAAGTTTACTGTAGTAAAATTTTAATGTACACTTTTATCATTACAACATAATAATTTTGTCCATTATGAAGAATTATTCTCTCAAACAAAAGGAGGAGCACCCACTTTCTCCAAGTCCCACTTGTGGAACAATTTTTCATTTGATATTAATAAAAGAGCACGAAGTAGTGGCTTGCGCGACTTTCGCTCCATAATCGCTTTTTTTATTGGTTTAAAAACTCAATCGTAAAATGTATCATTAATATTTTATTTTTATTTTTTTTGAGACTTTAGAACTTAACTTTTTAGGATTAACTTACTCTTTTAAATTATTTCTTATCTATTTCTTATCTCTATCAATATTATGTGAACGATTTAGAAAGAAGGAAAAAAAAATTATGTGAATATATTATTTTCTTTCCTTTTTTCTTTTTTCCAATTCTTTCCTTTCCTTTGTTTATATATATATAAATAGTTAACAATGCCACCGTGTATGGACTATGAAGCCATTTTAAGAGCATCTCCAGGGTTAAAAAACTCTTTTATGTAAAATATACACCATCACATATGATTTTAAATTTTTTTTCATCTCCAACATTATGTTAAGATACACTGCCATATCATCCATGTGTAAAAGGATTATATATTTTACACAGCACTTTTACATTGCCATGTAAGCATATTTTTTCTCTCTTCCCATTTCCTATTCGCGGTTCTCTTTCTTCTCTCTCATTCCTTTAAGGCTCTTTGTTTTCCACTTTTCTAGAGTGCAATAGAGAAGAATATGTAACTAGCGGCAAGATAAGAACTGCTCGACCATCTTTTATTTATTTATTTATTTTTAATAAACATAATTTGATTTATCACTTTCGTTTGATTTTATCTTCTGCAATCATACTGTAGATTATAGGGTTTTTTTTAAAAAAATTTTTTAATCCTTTTACATTATATTCTAATGAGATAAATATGTACTAGCCAAATATTAAATATATATTTTAATCACGTAGTTTCTACATACTTGAATCTTATTTTATTATTTGTTATAAGTTAGAATTCTGGTGGCGATGACATGAAAGGTTTGTTATTGGTGGGATGGGAAAGTGAAATATAGGAGAAAATTATTTTTTTTTTCCTAAGTGAGGAGGATTGGACGTTGAGGTTTAATTTCCAAAAAGTAACTGAATAAAGTAGGTTTGTAAAAGTTATGTAGGGTTTTGGATATAACACGTGGTTGGTTATTATTGGGAGATAGTTTTTTACACAAAAGGTATAAAACAACCTTTGGAGTTAAAAAATAATTAGTACAAATTTTTTGTGTAAATCTACTCTGACATATCAGATTTACGCAAAAAAAATTTTACAGACAACGGGAGATGCTCTCATCTCTCTTTCGAACATTAATTAAAACTCAAATCTATAATTTTACTTCAATTAAAACTTGTGGATATTTGGTTAGAGGGAAGGATTCAGGAGGAAAAAAAATTATGTGAATATATTATTTCCTTTCCCTTTTCAATTCTTTTCTTTCTTTTGTTTATATATATATATATATATATAGTTAACCATTTTGTGTATGGATTATGAAACCATTCACATCTCTCTTTCACACATTAATTAAAGGATTTGGATCTCTAAGTTAAATCTTCTCTAAGTTATCTTAAATTGAATTCTCTACAAATTGGCACCTACTACTTGTGTTAAACCACGTCAACTAAGGGAGAGAGAACGATGTTAACATTGTTAAAGTATGGTAATTTTTTTTATTTAAAAAATGGTGCAGTTTTCAAACTTTTGTAAATTTTCCTTATATTAAAAGGCTGCATATTTCAAACTTTCTTCAAATTAGTTGCATGATTTAACACAAGTCGTATATAGGATTTTTAAATGTCACGTGTCAATCTGTAGAGAATTCAATTTAGGACAACTTAGAGAAGATTTAACTTAGGCTCCGTTTGTGTGATGACCTTGTGGGTAAGGATGACAATTTGACCTGCTCTCGTGGTTACCCTCCCCACCCCGTCCCGTTTTTTGTAGTTTTGGAGTACCATTTTGCTTATTTGGGAGGGGATGGTTTGATGTAATAAAAACCCGGGTGAGTTTGGTGTGGGGGCAGGGGGAGATCGTCCCGCACCTCCCCGCCCTGTTTAGATAGACTAATCACTTATGTACCCTTATTTCATTAGTATATATATTTCTACTATATATTAAGTACCCTATATAACAATATTAAAGTAATAAATGAATTTGATTAAAAGGAAAGTTGCAATGGTGAAGAATTTAAGATGAGGGGAAAAAAAAAAAAAAAAAAGCAAATTTATTTCAATAATAAATAAATTAGGATCTTAAACGGGACGGGGTGAGTACCCGCGGAGGTAAAAATGTCAAGTGGTTACGGAGATGGGGTGGAAAGTTCTCCCATTTTTTCGGTTTTGGGAGAGGACGGGGGCGGGGTTTCTAAATGGTTGTGGGGGCAGGGGAGGGTACACCAGCCCAAACCCGCCCTCGTTGCCATTCCTACCTGTGGGCGGGTGTGAGACACTGGCAAGTTACCACACTGGCGAGTTACGGGCGCACAATCCTACATTGTCTAAGGTAAAGGAAATGTGAAGTACTTATATGTAGGTGTGTTACTCCAATTGGTATGAGACCTTTTGGGGTAAAGCCTAAGAGTAAAAACTTATGGGCTCAGACTCAAAACGGATAATATCATACCATATGGTGGAGTGGGTCGTTACAAATGGTATCAGAGCCTAACCAAGCTGGAAGGATGCCGACGGGAACGTCAGGCCTTCAAGGGGGACGTATTATGATGACCCTTTACGAGGATGCGAGACACTGGCAAGCTACCACACTGGTGAGCTACATGTGCATAATCTCACATTGCCTGGGTAAGAGAAATTTGAAGTGCTTATATGTAGGTGTGCCACTCTAATTAGTATGATCCCTTTTAGGATAAAATTCAAGAGAAAAATCGTTTGGGCTCAGGCTTAGGCCCAAAGCGGACAATATCATATCATGTGGTGAAGTGAGTCATTACAGTTTGGTTAGATAGAAATAAGTAAGAAAAGAAAAGAAAAAAAATGGAAAATGAAAGAAAAGTGAAGTGAATGAAAAAAAAAATTATTTTCTATCAAGTATTTCATTAGCATGACAATTTATTCAAGAATTTTTTTTGAAAATATTAGTTTATTAGTTTGGATGGCATGAAAATGAAAATAAAGTAATTGTGCATACCAAAACTACAATTATGATTTCAAATACTAAAAAAATAAATAAATTTGTATTTGATGATGTCTATTTTTATCAAAGTTTTAATAAAATGATGAATTATTAAATTTAATATTATAATTATTTATATTGTTTAAATTAAAACAATACTTCAAGACTTCTTAGGTAGAAGTAGAACTAACTATTCATGTAAGATAAATAAGGAAGCTTAGAAATAAAATAAAATAAAATAAAAAATCGGCTCATTGGTTTTCAACCCGAGAACAAAAAAAGAGCAAAATATATATTATTCTTTGTATATATAATAGTTGTGTGTGTATATATATATATATCAGATATAATGTATATTATTGCAAGAGAACATGTTTAAAGAGAACTTGTCTTTTAGAAGTCCACTAAAATAGAAATTGTTAGAGAACTTGCCTCTTTGAAACTCGTAGAAAAGAAACTCAGTTAGAAAAAAAAATATTATTTTCGAGTGTTTTGTGTGAGAAAAGTTTTGGAAAAAACTAGTCTAATGCGAGAAACTATATTGTATATTACGATCCATCTATTCAAACTCTTAAAAAATTTAAAAATTTTCTCTTTCCTTTCTTTTCTAGTTGATTCCATCTAACCAAACGAACACTTAAGGAATCCAAGTCCTTAATTAAAACTCAAATCTCTTCATGTTTGGTTGGAGTGAAGAAAGAATCCCTCCTTCCTTTGTATTTTAATCCAAAATTGGAAGGAAAATAGGAGAGAGAAAAGTGTAACTACCAACAAATCTCATAATAATACTTTAATTAAAACTCAATACTGATGAAAACTAAAGAATCCATCAATGGGAGCATATATATATATATATATATAAAGACAATTTAACAAAAAGGTAAATAATGAATGTTATATATATTTATATAAAAATATGAAAAAAAATATTAAAAAAAAAAGAGAAAAAAAAAGATGAAGATTAACTATACATTTAAGATGTTAAGTTTTAAAGTTTCATGCAAAAAAAAAAAAAAAAAAAAAATTGTATGTATGTACGTAAACAAGGTCCTAAAATGTTAAGTTTTAAAGTTTCATAAAAAAGAGAAGAAAAGAAATGAAATGAAAAGAAAAAGAAAAAGAAGAAGAGAAAAAAAAAAGTATCTATTATACATTTTATAATTGGTTTTTCAACCAATCAGAGAAGCATATAGAAAGATAGATATTAAATAAATTACAATAAAATACCATGAAATTTGTTATTATTTTTTAACAATTCTTTTATCTGAAAAATTATACTAAACATATAATGTCTTATACTTCAGTACTACAATAACCACCTCCAAACCCGTTATAAATGATGGAGGTAAGGCACATCCCTAGATGAGGCATCAGCCAAGCGAAGGGTCTCTTGAAATTGCCCCTCTTCAAACACATTCACAGAATCACAGTTCATTTTTAAGGTAAAAATGGGTGAGATGTAACATTACTTAATAACTTAAGTTTTTTTGGTTAGAAGACAACCGAACCGCTCAAGCCATTACGATTGGTATCAAAATCCGACTCAATTCTTAGTTCGATGTCATACCAAATGCTCGTCTACACCAAATAGGCTATTGGTTCGAGTTTATATGGGATAGAATGTTAGAAGTTCTCGTGGAATCAAATTCAACGTAATTAATTGCAAAAACAATTAATAAAATACAAA